GCAGGACAAGTTAGGTTCCCCAGCTTTAAAATGATTCTGTTGAGACTCAGATCATGTTTTTATGGTTCCTCACCAGCGCTAAAATAAAATATGGCAAAAAAGTGAAGAAATGTTTACGGCCAAATTTGGAAATGAAACACAAAAAGGGGAGAAATACAGATACAAAAAAGAGTAGGAAGTAGAAATACAGCAGTGATAAACACAGTATAAACCTGTAGTTTTAAACCACTTTTTATCTGTGTTTACTGCATCAAAAATGAGATGAATAAATACATTTTCTTCTTTTGATTTTGTCATTAAAAATATATATCAATAAGTGTTTAAGTCTAAATAACAATAGTCAAATAGAAGGAACTTTGGTAGAATCTCACATGAACTTGTTTTGAAGAAACGACATCAGACCAAACTTTATCATCTGCAAATGTGTAAAAAAAAAAACTGAAAAATAATAAAATACTATTATTTTTGTTAAAAATTTAATAATGTTGTTTTATTATTATTATTTTCTCAACTTCAGCTTGAGATAAGTTAATATTGCAAACTGCTCGACCCTACACTCACACTGTCTAACCTCTTTCATACACACACACACACCTACACACACACACAAAGAAACACACGTACACACACACACACACACACACACACACAGTCTAACCTCTGCCCCATGGAGTGTCATCAATGAACCTCACACGACAACAGAACAAGCACACACACACACACGAACGCACACACTTAGACACACATACACACACTGCACACACACACACACACTTAGACACACTACAAAGCCTGGTCTCGCTGCCGAAGGATTTCCCCAAATCTCTCCATCTCTAAACAAACAGCAACGCATTTGGAGACGGTCGTGTTGAGGAAAGACAAGCCTCGGACAAGGACTGAGACCAGGAGTGAGACCACAGGACTGAGACCAGGACTGAGACCAGGACTGAGACCAGGACTGAGACCAGGACTGAGACCACTGAGACCAGGACTGAGACCAGGACTGAGACCAGGACTGAGACCAGGGCTGAGACCAGGACTGAGACCAGGACTGAGACCAGGACTGAGACCACAGGACTGAGACCAGGACTGAGACCAGGACTGAGACCAGGGCTGAGACCAGGACTGAGACCAGGACTGAGACCAGGGCTGAGACCAGGACTGAGACCAGGGCTGAGACCAGGGCTGAGACCAGGACTGAGACCAGGGCTGAGACCAGGACTGAGACCAGGACTGAGACCAGGGCTGAGACCAGGACTGAGACCAGGGCTGAGACCAGGGCTGAGACCAGGACTGAGACCAGGGCTGAGACCAGGACTGAGACCAGGACTGAGACCAGGAGTGAGACCAGGACTGAGACGACAGGACTGAGACCAGGACTGAGACCAGGACTGCGACCAGGACTCAGACCACAGGACTGAGACCCGGACTGAGACCACAGGACAGAGACCAGGACTGAGACCACAGGACTAAGACCTGGACTGAGACCACAGAACTGAGACCAGGACTCAGACCACAGGACAGAGACCAGGACTGAGTCCACAAGACTGAGACCAGGACTCAGACCACAGGACTGAGACCCGGACTGAGACCACAGGACATGGAGAGGCCAGGACTGAGACCACAAGACTGAGACCAGGACTCAGACCACAGGGACCACAGGACTGAGACCAGGACTCAGACCACAGAACTGAGACCAGGACTGAGACCACAGGACAGAGACCAGGACTGAGACCACAAGACTGAGACCAGGACTCAGCGCCACACAAGGACAATAGTTTTTATCAAGCTGTCTCTGCTCGGCCCTTTTCAAAGATGGGATGAAAACGGATACGCTTGAAACTTCAAACGCTGCCACTGAGGAAGCTTGGTTGTCGCATGTGTTTGTGTGTGTGTGTGTGCATGTGTGTGTGTTTGTGTGTGTGTGTGTTGTCGCAGGGATCTCACAGACACCTTACAATCTGCTGCTCACAAAGGACAGGGTCAAACGCTCCACTACACAGCTATGGAAGACCGCTCAAAGGCCGTCCGACTGCGGTGGCTTCTGTCCCCGTTCCTCTGTGACATTTAAGAGTTAGAAAACCATTGCGTTGGGAAAAAAAACAAAAAACAATTAGCCATCCCCAAAAGCTCGCCTCTCGCACTTTCTCCACTGACGCAGGAAGCTAACACGTCGCTGCGCCCTCGTTTGTTCCCCAAACTTTATCCGCAGATTCAGAAAACGTGGTCTTAGTCCGAGAATAGCCTTTGTCATTGACGCTATTGTACTTTTGTTTTGATTCAAAGGACAATGTACATTCATTTTAATGCAAACAGCTGATTTTAATCTCAGGGGGAAGTAGAAATGTTCAATGTTTTGTTTAATTTAAAAGGAAACGCTATTGACAAAGCATTCTGGATGTTGTAGCCTAAACAAGTATGAGGGATTCAACTCCAAACAGTGATTTACATATTTTTACTAGTTAACTACTAAGCATAAATCATATATATTTTAAAATTAAGTCATGTCAAAGTTATAGCATTAGCTGTTTGCTTTGGTGTGTCTGGTGTTGTCAATACAGAAATAGTTCTCTGGAAAATTGGTTTAAACCCACAATTTGGACTTAAATTGGAGGATTTTCTACTTCCGGGTGGATCATCAAGACTATTGGTCCTCCCAATTGTCAATCATTCTTGTGATATGTGCTCGTAAAACACCAGAGAGTTTGGAAGAGTGGAGAGGGGGTCGGTTCTTTCCTAAAATTTGGGAAAATCCTCCTTTAATAATTTGGATTTTTCTTTTGTTTTTAATCTACTTATATCTGATGATTTGTGGACATTTATCAACATTTCTGGACATTGGTCTCGGCTCCATATGAACAAACGGCTCTATGTGTGTTCATGTTTTTTCTGTGTTTGATTCTCTGAACTGTGTTGTTGAATCAACAGCTTTGTAAAGTCCTCAGAGAAAACTGCTGTTGAGATTTAGGGCGATACAAAAATACATAGAATTGAATGGGAAAGTTTGTTAACATTTAGGCATAATTATATTTAAATGTATAGAGCTGTACTTTTCCTGTTTTTTATAGTAACGGTTAAATGCTAAACGGTGGAGGTGAGTTTAGAACCGCAAAGAAATGAACTGTAATAAAAATTAAACTCATTTCTAAGCGTTTCCCTTCCAAGCCTCGTACTTCAAAGGATATATGTGTCAATTTGCAGAAACAGAAACGTGCTGTTCGAAAAATCAGTGAAAATCTACAATTCACCCTGTTACAAAGTAGATTTTTCAAAAGTCAGTCATATGTCAGTGCCATACAAATTACATTTTCCACTTCTTCTTGAGCAAATCCTTTCAAAAATACTTCCAATAACAAAACAGGTTGACGAGAAATACAAACTTTCGGACGCATTTTCATAACGCAAATATGTTTTAAAATCTGTAGAACAAACTTATTCTGACTATTGCCTTTGTGTGTCTACAGCAGTGTTTTTCAACCATTGGCCCGTGGCACATTGGTGAGCCTTGGGAAATGATCTAATATCACGTACTTGTTCAAAATAGTGTGAAATTAAAAAAATTTAATACGAAAATGAGAAAAACTTTTTTGCACTTATTTCTATATCATACACTTTGATGAGGATGACTTATAGGCTGCAGAGCTGTGTGCCATGTGATTGTTTTAAATGAAAAAGGTGTGCCACGGCTCAAAAAGGTTGGGGAACTCTGGTCTGCAGGGACAGTATCATATATCGCATTATATACAGAGGACCATGAAGGACCAGAAGAGGACCAGGGGAGGACCAGAAGAGGACCAGGGGAGGACCAGGGGCGCGCTCCTCCTCGGGTCCATCTTCTCTCGTTAGCGCGGAATATTAGGCACTGCTGCAAATCATTAGCCTCCTTCAAAGCACACAAAAAAATGCCCCAAAAAAACGAGGCTTTGAGCACCAGCGACGTGTTCAAAGAATTACAAATATGTATCATTACTGCGCGCTCTTAAAAACGGCTACTTACTAATATACTGTACACATGCAGGCTCGGGACCAGCGCGCGTAATAGGCTGTTATAGGAGATTAAAACCCAAAACCACTTTGATTTACTCTAACGCAGCTCATAGTTTCTCAGGCTGCAGGCAATTACGCTCCGTCTGCTTTTTGGCAACTTTATGGGAGGCGTGACGTAATGATTAATCATATCTGAGCAATGCCACTATAACGCGAAAGAATTTGGATCTGGCTCTAAAAGGGGCGTAAATGCTCGGATGCGTCTATACAGCGCACTCAGGAGTCCGAGCTATGTTATTATGCCATCTGCAGTAAAAGCACATTGGAATACATGTGCAAAAGTCCCCAGCTGTTGTCACTGTTTAGATTGTGTAGAAATAGCAGTGTGAGTTTGTGTTGTTTTGATCATGCAGAATGCGCTAACGGCTTGGATCAATTTGCGTAATAACATTTGTTTAATCTCACTTTTTATTTTAGCAATCATTCTGTAAATGGCTTTTGTGATCTGCTAATTGGCAACTTACTACATCAGATTTGTGAAGGCTTTTAGAGAACATTGCTGTTGTGATTCTGATCTGTACAAAACAGGAAGATTGATCAACATTTATGGACATTGGTCTTCGGCCCCTAAAGTGTTTTTATACCATGGCATTCTATGTTTTTGAACAATTTGTTTCGCTGATCTGTGTTAGCGAATCGACAGCCTTGCAAAGACACCGGAGATCACTACGGTTGTTTATTGAATTGAATAGATTTGAACCCAAACGCGCAGCGCTCCAACCTGCGTCTCCAAACAACCATTACGCACTGCGTCAGTTATCTATAGGCCTTAAATATGACAAATATTTCACCACACAATGAACAACACACATCTTGAGCGCAATAATCGTGTAATAGAACCTACAGAACACCTACAAAATTATAATAACCTTTCTCTAGCTAAACGCATGAATGATAACGGGGTGTAATATGGCACAGCTTTACGCACGGCGAACGAGTAAGAAAGCACCTACCTGTAGCTGGAAGTAGAGGACCAGAAAGTGTAAACACCTAAGAGGAGAGAGGGAGAGAAGGAGGAGGCAGTGAATTACGAGCAATGACATGAAGAACACACAGCTAATACCTGCGTGACAGCTGCGTAAAAGAAGCGCGTGCGGCGACTTCTATTGCGATAAAAAATGCACAAGTCTGATTTTTTTTTTTACACACTTACAGATAGAGGAACTTCGAAGGCAGCAGAGACATGGTGACTTGGAAGACCTGAAGAGCACCTGCTTCCTCTTGATATAGAGCCACGTTCAAGATAATAAAAAAATAAAAACCAGCCGAAATAGTCCGCGCGCTTCCCTCCGTTTGGACGCAGGCAGCTCCTCGCTACACGGAGCCGTTTGAGTCCAAAAGTGACGCTGGATCCCCGGACACTGTCACCAGGAGCAACATGAGGGCTGAGTGGAGCACTGCAGCCACCAGAAGAAATCCACCACAACAACAAAATGTCTCCGTGAAAGAATAAGTCCCAAACCCGATCGCAGCGGAATGTGAGGAATCTCGCCAAGAAAAACACAAAAAATGAGAAAAACAAATTCCTTCAATAACTTAAAGTACAAAAAAGTTGTTCCTTGGATCTTCCGGAGCCTCTTCAGTGCGTCCGTACCTGCCGGGGATTCTTACACCTTGCGCGGGACATCCTCTACGGTTGCTCTTGAACTCCTTCCTAAATAAAAATAAAAAAAATATTGAAAGGTGTGTTCCGGCAGACGCAAAATCGAATCCACAGCCGGGAGCGTGATGTGCGCGGCTGGTCCCGGGGGAGAGCTCACTATTATCTCTGAGCTTGGGCACTTGGGCACAGCCAGGCTTTGGTGCTGCGGGTGGGTGGAAACATGTCAGTGGTTTGCACCTGATAGGGTAATCTGCGAGAGCGCATCAGCCCAGAGAGCGTCTCCCTCTGCTCCCTCTGCACTCTCTCTCCCTCTCTGTCTCTCTCTGCTCTCTCTCCCTTCTGTCTCTCTTACCCGTCTGTCTCTCTGCTCTCTCTCCCCTCTGTCTTCCTCTGCTTTCTCTGCTCTCCCTCCCTTCTGTCTCTCTCTATTCTGTCTGCTTCTGCTTTCTCTGCTCTCTTTCCCTTCAATCTCTCTCTGTCTCTCTCTGCTCTCTCTCCCTTAAGCCTCTCCCTTTCGTCTCTCTCTGCTCTCTCTCCCCTCTGCTCTCTCTCCTCTCTCTCCCTTCAATATCTCTCTGTCTCTCTCTGCTCTCTCCCCCTTCAGTCTCCCTGCTCCCTTTGCCTTCTGTCTCTCTCTGTTCTCTCTCCTGTTCTGTCTCTGTCCCTTGTGTCTCCCTCTGCCTTCTCTGATCTCTCTCTCCTCTGTTCCCTCTGCTCTTTCTGTCTCCCCCTGCTCTCTCTCTCTCCCTCTGCTCTCTCTCCTTTCTGTCTCGCTCTACTCTCTCTCCTTTCTGTCTCCTCTCTCTCTACCTCCGTGTCTCTCTCTGCTCCCTCTGCTCTGCCCTTCTGTCTCCCTCTGCTCTCATCTGCCTTCTCTGCTCTCTCTCTCTCTTCTGTCTCTCTCCACATGCAGTTAGCGCTAAAGAGGGACGAGGGGATTACGCGCGGGTCTGGGTTTGTCTCCTGAGATACTTTGTGCGCGTTTCGTGTAAGTTTGGCTAAGCGCTGTATTGTTATTCATTCGGACTAAGACAACATTAGGACAACCAAATCCACTGGAACAAATAGATTTAAAACATACATGACTCTATTATGTGACGTAAATGACCCAAACGCATACCAGAGGTTTCAATCAATAAACCCCGTGATTTTAAACTGTTCTTGATCTCCCAGAGCAGTCAAATTAACGGCTTTTCGTTTCGGAAGTGCAATTAATTGCTCATATGTGCTTGGTATTTATAACTTTGGGACTTGTGAGATTTCATAACACTTTGAAGCAACTTTTGTTAAAGTTAAACTCATCATTCTATCAATGTGCAGAAGCCTGTACTTTTCCCTTGTTTTGTCTATCTGAAGGCCAAGCTACAAGCACACCGTGGCAGCTGCTGATTGGAGGACTCCATGCCTCCGCTCTGTATAATACACTTGCATTCTCTTGTATCTGTGATCGTGTGTTTTGTTCGTGCTGTCTCTACCATCGACAATAAAACATGTCTTCTGTCTGAATTAAAGACACGATCCCAGACTTTGTCATCTTCTTCAGGTGGTGGAAGGATGCGGGCCTTGTCTGTAACATCTAGAGAACAGAAGACTTTTTTTTACACAAAAAGTGTTTTTTTTTTTAAGCCAAAACTGAGAAACCTCAAGAGAAACCATGCATCTGGATCAGCACATGGACAATCTGCACAGCCCCTGATTCTACTCAGGCAGTGAGCTGCTGAGACATGGACAATACCAGCGTCCTCTTTTGCAAGGACATAATTTGGAACAATTGGATTTCTGAATTTGGACATAATTTGGACTGAATTGGATTGCTGAATCTGGACACTGAAGCTGAAACGTGTGATTGAAAGACACGTCACAGAAGAATTCATGGCTCGACACAAATGCAGCCTGAAGAAACCAACACGGAGAAGTGGGAGAGACTGTTTTCAAAGCAATATCTGAGAACCATCGACTGATGAAGTTTGGTATTTTACTGAAGATTGTTGACAAGTTTTATGAAAGATCTGAACATGTTTTATGAGTTTTTGAAGTATTCCGAGTTCTGAGTTTTTTGAGGTACCGAGTTTATGAGTTTTTGAAGTATTGAGTTATGATGTTATGTTGCTGTTTATCAATCCTGATGGTCACACGTGAATGTATGACCAGAGGGGGGAATGTGAGATTTCATAACACTTTGAAGCAACTTTTGTTAAAGTTAAACTCATCATTCTATCAATGTGCAGAAGCCTGTACTTTTCCCTTGTTTTGTCTATCTGAAGGCCAAGCTACAAGCACACCGTGGCAGCTGCTGATTGGAGGACTCCATGCCTCCGCTCTGTATAATACACTTGCATTCTCTTGTATCTGTGATCGTGTGTTTTGTTCGTGCTGTCTCTACCATCGACAATAAAACATGTCTTCTGTCTGAATTAAAGACACGATCCCAGACTATGTCATCTTCTTCAGACTATATCCGTATCTAAATGTAGTTTATTTCTATGATATACGTGTATGAAATTTCGATCCTGGATGGGTCCTAGACTGGTCCTGGACTGGTTCAGAGCAGACTCAGTTTGGTAGTTACCATAGCAACATATATACTGTTTACCTACCTCAGTTATTAGTTGTGCATTATTGCACGTATAGAACAGGTTTTTTTAGCATGCAATAAGGATAAACTCAGAGTTACTCAGTACTAATGAATGTTATAGTGAAAAATCTGCAAATTTCAATACATTAGAATGGGAGCCGTCTAAATGACTGCCCTGAGAGTCCTATAGTTTCAGAATTGCGGTGTTTTAAAGCTATCTAGTCCGCGTCATAAGCTGAGTATATTGTGTTCTTCTAATGTTAGTTGCAGGTGAGGAGATGCGTATTTGAGGGAGACGTGTCGAAACGCGCTGAAGTCAATTGCACTTGCGCCATTTTAAGCGGGTGCGCGTTTGTGGATTGGCAGCGCACTCCTCCAGACACCATTCTAATGCAGTATCCAGTCTCCAGGGTCCGCGCTCTGCCCCCTGCTCCTCTCTCTGCACTGGAACTTATGGCACATTTACATGAGAGAGAGGTGTGAGCGCGTTTACGAGCCTGCGACCGCAAAGACACCGCGCGTTATTACAAGAAAACAGGAAAAAGGAGACAAAAAAAGAGGAGAAATAATAATAAAAACGCATTGTGTCTCGTCTTTATTGTCCCATTAAAACTCAGGATTACAACTCTATTCTTATTCAAAATGATGCGAAATGGGGTTTAGGTTTAACCCCGTAGAACCTGGACTGAAAAATATCACTGCTATTTCTGTAAAGCAGCATATTAGCTTCTGTGGGTTCTTACTTAATGATTAATGCATTCAAAAAGGGGTGTAAAACTCATTTAGGTCGAGGCCCGGGTTTAAGACGATAAAAACTGGTTGGGGCCAAAAGTATAAAAGTGATTTACTGATAATATATATTTTTGTATTTTGACATTCATATCAGTATAAGATTAATTGTATTTTCCATTTGCAGTAAAAAAAAAAAAAAAAAACATTGGAATACGTCCAATTTTATTTGACTTATAATTTTATTCTTCTTTTATGTTTTCTTGATGTTATATTTGATGTATTGTTTTTATGTTGTGTATTTTGGGGATGTTCCCTGTTTTTGTAGCACTCTGAGGTTTCCCTGAAATGTAAAGTGCATTATAAATAAAATGTATTATTATTATTATTATTATTATTATTATTATTATTCTTACTCATTATTTTCTAGTAGGTTTGAACTCAATAACAACTGGGCCAAATATTTGAAAAAAAAGTTAAATGAAAAAAACAAAAACTTTTAATTACATTTTAGAGAAGACTTGATGCTATGGTTGTTTTCCTGAGAATATATAAGCTTTAAAATGAAGTATAACATGTCATAGTATTGGAATGTACAGTATCACATTACATAAGTTACTGTAATAATGACTATTGAAAATAATTTCGGGGGGCGCTAAAAATGGTCTCTGAAAAAACAAAACAATTTCTTTGGCCTTAACCTTTGACCTTTCTGCCGCAGATTTGTGACTGAGGCCACGAGGTTAAACCACTTTCCCAAAGGCCTCATGTAGAGACTGGACTCCCAGAAATCTGAAACGCAACCAGAACTCCCAGAGCCATCATTTTGACTGTTCCCATTCCAACACGGAATTCTGTGAAATTTTACCCAAAAATGTTTTAATTTTCCACCATATTTTTTTGTTTTGTTTTAATCTTATTTCACGTTTATATTGTGAAGTTAGTGATAGTTACAGTGAGTTATATACAGTAATGCAGTTCCGAAACTAAAAGCCGTCAAATGGACTGCTCTGGTAGTTCTGGTGTTAGACGAATGCAATGACGCAGAAAAAAAAATAGCCAGAATTTAAATAATATCATAAGAATTTGTATACATTCAGTGAGTGGCTTAAAGCTGAGGTCCCTAACTTTCCAGCTGCAGCAATGGAATACATCATCCTCAAACTACAGACGCTCTCAGAGCTGTTTTATCTAAAGATTTTCAGATCAGATTTTTCATCAAATACAATATCAAACAAGGCCCATCTTCATTCGACCAATCAACTTTCAGCTGAAAGA